CCCCTTCCCCCTCCCTTTTCTGTCTGCTGAAGGCCAGGAGTGATCTGTTAACTGTACACCACTGACTGGGAGGCCAAAGCAGCTCATGGTACTGTATGTTACCATTACTACTCCCTCATTCCTTTTTTACATTTTTTAAACATTTCTTTGTAATAATGGTTTATATGAGTCAGAAGGATTTCATTTTAGACTACAAAAGAACAAAGTAGAGAAATAACTAAATGTTGTGCATTTCTGGGGATCTTTTTCAAAACCTGGAAAATAATCTATCTAATTTACATTAGTTGCAAGTAATGGTTTCTAGCAAAATTTAAATAGGATTATTAAATATAGAAATAGTGCAGGGTTTGGGATAGGTATGGGGCATGTAAAGAAATGTTATGAAGTCATGCGCATATTTTTCAATTCCTTTCAGTTATCATAGGACACATGTGTTTGTTTTTATTGACATGATTTTTTTAAGAAAAAATCATCTTATAAATTACTGAAATTTCATTAGTTCAGATGCTTGCTACGGGTTTACATTGTGTTTTATTTGTATGTCTGTGTTTCTGGCTTGATATGAAAATCTGTGTAGATATTTGTGGGTGCGGAGCATCTCTGAATATCAGGTTGTTTTTATTTAAGTGATTAGCTTTAGTCACCCACATGTGAAAAAGTTGGCCATAAAGCTTGTGTATGCATGGGCATGCCTAAGTCCCCCACGCCCCATGAATCACGTTCTTCATTTGATTGCACTCTTGCAACTTCACTAAAGTCCACGGAGTTACATTGGTGTAAAGGAAGGCTGATTTTGTTCTTACATATGTATATTTCATTAAATCAGCATCTGTCACCGTATGGACTGTGTGGATGTGAATATGGGTTTGTGTATGCATTAATATTTAACATATACTGACAATGTATGACTGGGAAGTGTAATTCATTGTTTTGTGAATAAAAAATGATCATACTTTCTAGTCATACAAGATCACACTTAACTAATTAAAATGTAGCATATTGTAAACCATTTCATAAAATATTTTTGACACATTAAAGGTGTGTGAATAAAAATTGGTGTTAGTTTAAATTGCTCATATTATTTGTAGTGTTAGTAATTATATTTGTCCAGTTTCTCAGATGGGGCCAATTGGCATAACTCCATCTGGGTCACCATGTATTGATGTATTTGTTTTTTCAGTGCTGTGGTATAAACTCAAATATATATACAAAGCCTGAATGGGCTTGATCCTGCAGGGTGCTATTCATCGTCAATCCATATGAGTTAAGGATGCTCAGGAGGGAGTTGCAAGTTTCTAGCTCAAAGTGAGGGAAATGTGCCACCACCTTGCAAGTTTCTAGCTCAAAGTGAGGGAAATGTGCCAGCCTTGTTAAAAAATAAATAGCTAAATACATGAAATGAATACAAGTTTAGTAGAATCTCAAAGATAAGGGGAATTCCCCCTTCTTGGAAATGTACATATGTGGAAATATTTAATGTGTGGAAATGAAACATCCATACACGACTTACACATGTGTAACTGTATAGATTTACAATACATATGGGATTCTGTGCTAAAACCTTTATATAATACACATTCACTGTGCAATGAAATACTTTTTATATTTTACCTTATATTAGAAAGCATATTATAAGGAAAATTATTTCTCATTTATCAGGGTAACAGGAATGCACAAGTATATATTGATAAATTAATGTAACTTTAAAAAGGGATAAACAAAGGGTGGGCAAGAGATGGCTTGTGGGCCAGATCCGGCCTGCAGCCACCTTGCCAGCACCCTTACTAATTGCTCTGTAAACTGGGAAAGGAGGAGAGAGCTTTCCGTGGTGTCCCCGCCCCCAGCAAAATCCCCAAGTTCCTATTGGGCAGTTTCTGACCATTAGGAGATGAGAAAATTTTACTGAAGGCAGGGGTAGCGAATGACGCCTCCTCACTCCCCCCTCCCTGTGCTGGAGCAGAGCCATCTGGAACAGTCCGCCCAGCACACAGGCAGGGTTCCTGCAGAGCTGCTGCCTGGGAGCCACCTAGGTAAGTGCCCCCCAGCCAGAGCCTGCCTCTGTCTCCTTCTCTTTCTCCCCAACTACATGCCCCAAGCTACTGCCCAAACACTTGTATCCCCTCTCCCCACTTCTTCCAGGTCACAACTCCCTCCTAGACTGTGCACTTCCTCATACATCCCTCCCCCTTTCCTTCACACATACCCCTCCCTGACCCTGCACCCCATTCTCCTGCCCCACATACCACCTAAATCCTTGGCGCCCCCTTTCCCTCCTTCTCCTACGTCACAACCCCCTCTTATACTCTTCCGACACCGCTCCTACAGGCCAGAATCCTCTCCTGCACTCCATAACCCCTCCTGGACCCAGCAGCCCAAGCGCCTGACCCAGATCATAATCCCCCCTTTCAGCCAAACTCCCTACTACACCCCACCAGCCATCCCAGACCCTGTGCTCCCTCCTCCGAAGTGCAGCCCTTTACCACTTGCCAAAATCTTGGAGTGGCCCCCCATTAAAAATTATTGCCCACTCCTGGGATAAGCCAACAGTAAATTTTCAAGTCACGTGTAATTTTTTTAAAGTTAGGAATGATTCACATAGGTTTGGCTGCATAATTTATTTATTTTGTTTCTATGAAAGGGGTTATTTTTGTCAGATAAACATAACTTTAAATTGTTTAGGGCCCTTTTTATTATGATAGAGGGTTTTTCTTGTTTTTTCTTAAAAACACTTATATTGTCAAGGTTTATGGAGAGTCATAGCCTCAACAAACAATCAGCTCTATAACAAAATCATGATTTATTTACCTGTTCAGTCAACCCTTCAGGTTTTAGAATTCATCATTGAAATCTTTTATAGATTCTGAAAGTTACCCACTTTGAATTATATTTTTTCTGCTTTAAACCATTGTAAGTACAAATTAATGGGAGTTTCCTTTTGATTATGATGTGAATGAGAAATTTTAAATTATGGTTTCTGAAGAAAAGTGGCAAGTTATACATTCACACAGTTTTTCTTTCATTTAGTGACTATTTAAAAAAAAATACTTTTTCCGAATGGACTTCTTGTAAATTGCAATTTTTAATGAATATTTTTTTAAAGTACTGATGTGTCCTGAAAACAAATTTCATATTCCTTTTGGAGAAGAGGAGATTTGATGGCAACTCTCTTATTTCCCACTAGTTAAGGGACAGTTCTTCCATAGACTTTCAATGATTACATTTTCAAAAGTTACTGAAAAACTTTTTAGAAACAAGAAGTCTGATTTTTTGCTGTCTTTACCCCTTGAGTACGTGCATATACATATGCAAACTGGGATGCAAATGCTACTAACTCTGAATTCTTTGCTCATGCCAGTGGCAGCAGTTTGTGCTCCTGGCAGAATTCAGCATCATGTGTATGCACAGAATTCAAGGTCCCTGTAGATTTATTTGCTTCCTAGCAGAAAAGAGACTTTGTGATGGCAACACAAAAGCAAGGTGCAAGAACAGTCTTCCCTGGCTTCCTCCCTGGCAGTTCAAGTAGTTAGTTTGGGCATGCAGAGCAAGTGGTGGATGTAAATCACCACGGTGGAAAGTAGGGGGAGGAACGTGGCAGTCATGTATGGAATTCAAGGTCCCTGTAGATTTATTTGCTTCCTAGCAGAAAAGAGACTTTGTGATGGCAACACAAAAGCAAGGTGCAAGAACAGTCTTCCCTGGCTTCCTCCCTGGCAGTTCAAGTAGTTAGTTTGGGCATGCAGAGCAAGTGGTGGATGTAAATCACCACGGTGGAAAGTAGGGGGAGGAACGTGGCAGTCATGTATGTTACAGGCAATTATTTTAAAAAAAAAAAAAAAAAAGAGAGGGAGAATTTTGTAGAATTTTAAAATATTGTGCATAGAATTTGAATTTTTGGGTGCAAATTTTTAAATTTTTGGGTGCCAAATTCCTCCAGTGTACACTTCTTCACACTCATTTTTCACAAGTATATAAAATGTGAAAGGAGTGGATAATCAAGTCCAAGGTTTTTGTTCCTGTGCTAAAGTAATAATTTGACCTACAAAGTGGATGGGATTTTCAAAGGATTCCAAATGTTCAAAAGTTACAGAACAGCCACCCCAAAGTCCTGAGATTATCTTAAAATATTGAGCTTTTAAAAAGAAATTAGGATATGATTTAGTGTCTGAGACTTTAAGGCTCACTTTCAAGTCTTTCTTCACACATATGAGGGCTGGAAACTTAATTGTTTAAATGAAAGTTGAGATTTTCACATAATGAAATACTTCCAGGAGCTGGGGCTTTCAGAAGAAGAATCAAATATTGTAAAGACTTGCAATAAAATAGTGATAATTGGCAAAATTGTATTGCTTCTCAAATACCTCTGAAAGTGCTAGCCTAAGGCCTAGACTACAAACAAGACTTGTGCTTTAGTGTATCCAGGCCGATTTAGTTACACTGGTATAAACCTCGAATACAGACACACTTAGTACCCTTTACATTGTGCTTAAACTGGATTTGCTTAATCCATTATTTTTAATTAATTGAATTAATATAAACCAGTATAAACCATGTCTTAAATTGGTTTAACATGTCTACATTAGGAGTGTAACTAGGTAGTTTTAAATTGATTTATTTACACTGCTACCACTTTTCTAACACAGACTGTATTTGTGATGTTTTCTGATCCATTTATCATTTCTGTTCTCTGTAAAGCTACAATCAATGGATAGGTCCTTCATGTACAACAGTGAAAAAGTTCACCTTAACATTTTACCTTTTTGACAGAGTGAGGTATGATTTCAAGATTCATTTACATCAGCATCAAGTTTGAGCCTTACATGCCACATCAAGAAAGATTAATCACAGGGAAAAAAATCTTGAAGGCAGAAAACTGAATATTAGCAATCATATAGTTCTTCACATAAGGCTGTAAGTGAAATGATTATACCCCATAGCACTCACTTAGCAACTAGTATTATAGTTAAGGCTGAAAAAAATGTCTTTGATCATCTCCCCTGCTTGTACACACCCGTAGCTAAGTAAAATAAATCACCAGTTAGCCTAAACTTTTACATATTTAAAGCTTGGCTGTAAGATAGTGGGGATTTTGATTTTTAATATTTGATCAAAATCCTCACAGCTTTTTTTGAGATTTAAAAAAGTTGCATTATATTTTATTCCCTGATAACTCAAAAACAGCAAAATTTTGAACTACTTCATATAGTCCTTGTTAAGTATTTCTGTGACCAAAATTGGAAAAAAGTAAGTTGGTGGTGTAGCCCCTGATTCGGCACGGCGCTTACACACATGGGACTACTGTAATGCTGCACACGTTTAATTAAGTACTTCACTTAATCAGGGACTGAGATAGGAAAGACTAAAAAGTGAGGAATAGCAATGTAAAAGGTTAACCGATTAACAAGTTAACCAGCAAGCCTCGCCCTTAACGAGTGAGGCTTACCTGTTTTAGTTAACTGGTAGGGGGGCTGGTGCAGCTCCCCACCTGCCCTAGAGAAGGGGCTGCTCCAGCTTGACAGGGCTCATGGCTGGCTGGAGTAGCTCCTCTCTGTGGCAGGCCTTGCCCGCCCTCGCCCCGCCCTTCCCCCCGCCACAAGTTACACACTGTGGCTCCACAGGAGTGGGGCCAGCAGGGGCAGCCAGCCAGTTCCCAGGGAGCCCACAGCAAAGCCTCTTTGGAGTGGGGCAGCTTTGCTGCAGCAGAGAAGCCTCCCTTCCTGGAGTGGAGCCAACAGCCCCTGCCAGCCCTGCTCCTGCAGAAGCCTCCTCCCTGGGAGAGGAGCCAGAGGCCCTTGATGAGCCCATCGTGGGGAGGCTTCGCTGCTTAGCTTAGCTTAGCTTTATACTGCAGAGCCTGCAGCATGTGTAACTGCTAAGATTTGTAGTGGTTACATGGTTACCTTTTAAATGACTTTTTACCTCCCTAGAGAGAGGGAGACAAATACACGTACACCTGTAGAAGAAAATGTGTTAAAGTATGAGCCAGAAAAGATTGTGCACATATGATATTTTCAGTGTGTTCTTATGCATCTCTGTTTCTAGAAGGTTCTGTGACATGCTTCTATGAAAACTGACAGTCTGATCCTGTGCATGCCAAAATTAGTGGCCAGAGGAGATCAAAATTGGGGCCTTATTAAAGTTTTAAAGCTGCTCAAGTGTCGAGATGTAAGTAGGGTTGCCAGGTGTCCTGTATTGTACCGGACAGTCTGGTATTTGCGCGCTCTGTCTGGTAAAAAATATCAGAAAGTACCAGACATGTGCGATGTCTGGTATTTTCTGATTTTTCCGGCTGCGCACGGCGTGGGTGGAGGGAGCAGCTGGGAGGCGAGGCCGCGATTGCTGCCAGGAGCCCTCAATTGGTTGAGTGTGAGGAGGAGGAGAAGCCTCTTCCTCACTCATGTGTCGCCGGGAGCCCGCGTGGGACAGGCAGCAAGTGCCCAGGTCAGTCCCACTCCCTGCTGGCCAATTTGCTCACCCCCCCCCACTTCCTGGCCAGCAGCTTT